AGGGGCGTATTTGCCGCGAGGTAAACAAGGCATTTGCCTAGGGTGGCACTTTTCAGGGGGGCAGCACGGGACAGGGGCTGCTGTGTCTTACCTGACTTTGTGTCCCACGTCGATCTGGTCCAAAAGGCGCTGCTGGAGGAGGGGTGCAGAGGGTGTCCATTGGGTGTCTTCATCTTCATGGATCTTGATCGGGATGTGGGCGGGATGACAAGCCGCCCCTCAAATCTGGCCACACCCCTGGGATCACTGGGCAGCCTATGGCAGCCTGTCCCTCCCTCTGCAAGCTCCGCCTCCTCGCCGGTGATTGGGCGCCAGATCTGTAGCTCAGTAAAGGCACACAGGCGGCCAATCACAGGCGAGGTGGCAGAGCTTGGAGAGGAGGAGCTGAGCGGCAGCGCGAAGATTGAAGATCGAGTGAGGGAGCAGCTGGAGCCGGTGAAGAGGAGAGCGGCTGGAGAAGGAAGACAGCTGACAGGTAAGTGTCTGTGCCTGGAGCAGGGGTCAGCACAGCAATGTAAGTATAATTGGTGTCAGTGTGTGAGGAAACGTGCCCCATCATTGGTGTCAGTGGGAGGAATAGTGTCCCTTCATTGGTGTCAGTGGGAGTAATAGTGCCCCATCATTAGTGTCAGTGTTGGAGGAATAGTGCCCCCTCATTGGTGTCACTGACACCAATGAGGGGGCACTTTTCCTCCCACTGACACCAATGATGGGGCACTATTCCTCCCACTGACACCAATGAAGGGACACTATTCCTCCCACTGACACCAATGATGGGGCACGTTTCCTCACACACTGACACCAATGATGGGGCACCATCATTGGTGTCAGTGTGAGGAATAGTGCCCCACCATTGGTGTCAGTGTGAGGAATAGTGCCCCATCATTGTTATCAGTGGGAGGAATAGTACTCCATCATTGGTATCAGTGGGAGGAATAGTGCCCCATCATTGGTGTCAGTGGGATGAATAGTGCTCCATCATTGGTATCAGTGGGAGGAATAGTGCCCCATCATTGGTATCAGTGGGAGGAATAGTACTCCATCATTAGTGTCAGTGGGAGGAATCGTGTCCCATCATTGGTGTCAGTGGGAGGAATAGCACACATTGTTGTCAGTGGGTGGAGCTCTAATAGGAAAAGGTGGAGCCTAAAGAGGAAGGGGTGGAGTTTGCAGATGAAAGGGTGGGACAAATTTAGATGGGGGGGGTGCCCGATTTTAGTCTTGCCTAGGGCAGCACAAAACCAAAATACACCACTGGGTTTAAAGCACATGTAGAGCCTAGAACAGCCTGGTCAGAGGCTGTGGATAAGACACAGGTGATGATCAGAGACTGCAGACATGCTACAACAGATGGTCATAAGAGTTTAATGCAAGATGATGAGCGCCACTCAGGCCGGGGAAGCCAAACTCCCACAGTCACCAGGGAGAAAGGTGCGGGCTGCCAAAGGTGCTCATCTAAAGCAATCAAAGAAGAGCTGCAATTCCGTCCAGCCAGCCTAGTGGAGACTTGAAAATGGTGGTCCAGAGAAAAACATGTCAGGGGATACGGCTTTGGCATAGACTCATGGGCTGAGGTCATTTTCAAGTCTACACTAGACTGGTTGGACCGGATTGTGTCTCTTCTTTGATGCTATGTAGTGCCCTCTAGGTAGATAGGGTTTTTTTGGTTAGTCAGTGGCTTGTTAGAAGCCTGGGATGAGTTAGTCTGGGAGTGAGGCAGTGAGGTTACCTCAAGTCAAGCTGGGTTGCTCCTTTAGGTCAGGCTTCTGGAGCCCTCCCACCCTTCTAAAACTGCTGGACCTTTCTAGAAGAGGGGCGGAGGAGGGGAGGAGGCCTGGATTTGCATTTTTGAGGGAACCTGACCAATCCCCAGGGAGGAGGCCTGGCATGGTGGCTAGGACAGCCCTAAATGTTGGGGAGCCTGATTAGCAGGGGAGTTGTTGGAGTCGGGTGGAGGATGGATTGAAGGAAGTTGCTGGTATGGAGCCTGGGAGGGGGCCTCAGCCAAGGAGGCCTACCTACAGACTGGAGCTGGACAGAAGGATCTCCACTGCCCTACAGTCTACTTGGGAAAGGCAGCCTGTCAGCAGGGAAGGAGCCAGCCCAGTTTAAGGCCTGAAAGCAGCTGCAACCCATTAGGCTACAGGTCAGGACAGTGCGAGTACTCCTACACCCCCTGGGTCACAGAAAGAATGGTGCAATACCCAACTAGTTCTCATCTAGGACTACCCAGGGTAGATCTTGGAATCACTTGCCCAGGGATATCCTCAGGACAGCTGCATGGTTGAGGAGAGCTTCTTCTGGGGTCTGAGGAGATTCATCAAAGGGGACTCTTTTTTACTGCTGTTGCTGATTTTTGTCCACATTGTTTTACATTTTGTTGCTAAGATGTTGTCCTTCTAAGATCTATTATAACAGATCAATTTAAAAAAACTTGGATGGACTTCACAGTCCAAAAGTCAAACAGTGCAAAAGAAATAAACCAAACCATGGAGCTACTAGAAGCCAATCTAAAGAATACTTTTATTTTAGTGGCTTGAGTAAGCACCAAAACACAGACTAGTGTCTGCAGGAGCCCCAAGTACTACACAGTAAGCTCCATATTTGGCTTTCGTTCCACAGGTTGGAAACCAGGGTTCAAGGCTGACAATGTACACCAACAATACTGTGTCTATAGGGGAGCTGCATTATCAACCTAGGACCCCATAAGATATCCACAGAGAGGACCAGTCTTGCCAGTGGAGATGTGTTTCTTGCATAGCAACCTTTGTTGTTGAAAATCCAGGCTATTTCTCTGGTCTTTCTAGGTCTCTGGGTGGCTTTCTAAGATATTCGGGTTGAATGTTGGGATTCTCTGGTATATAAATGATATCCTCCTCCATAGTTTGTGTCATCTCTCAAATGGAGGGTTATTTACTAAAACTGGAGAGTGCAAAATCTGGTGTAGCTCTGCATAGAAACCAATCAGCTTCCAGCTTTTATTGCTAAAGCTTAATTGAACAAGCTGAAGTTGGAAGCTGATTGGCTACCCCGCACAGCTGCACCAGAGTCTAAGAACACCAGTTTTAGTAAATCTCCGCCATGATGTTTGCTTCTTCTGAAACATGCTCCACCTGGAGAACCACACCATATGACCTTGAATTCTGATGTAATCTGTTTACACTGTTGGTTGTCATCCATTGTTTGTTTCCCATTAGCTCATTACTTAGAAAACACATTAATCATCATCTCAATGAAAAATGCCTGAGTTGCAATTTTCAACTTTATAAAAATCACAAAACTGGAAAGCTCAGAGTAACCGTGGGCTACATGAATTGATAAACAACCAATCAGACTTTTTCTTTTAATATGACTTCAGGAATACAAAATGTGCTTGAATGCTACATTATACTCTTCTCCCTTGAGATGAGACATTTATGAAATACATAAATGGTGCAAATAGTAAACTTGGTGCAAAGCTGTTAATTTTAAAGTAATTGCAAATGGCAAGGGTTTCCTCTCTCCATCTGGGGGAAAGGAGGTTTACCAGAAAGGCTTCTTCATGGCATGAAATTGTGGAATAGACTTCCTCAGGAGGTAGGTATAACTTAGTTAGATGTGTATCTAAATGTAAAAAATATAACTGGTTATTAAAATGTATAAATAATACCATTGTAGATTGTTGATCTAGGGAATATTACATTGCCTTAGAGAAGTGGCCTCCACACTGCCCCCCTGGGGGCCAGATGTGGCTCTTTGCTTGCATTTATCCGGCTCTTGGGGCATTTCCCCCCCCACTGATACGAGACACTTTCATTGCTTCCACTGACACCAACAGTGGAGCTTAATTCCTCCCACTGACACCAATGATGGGGAACTATTCCTCCCACTTATACACTATTCCTCCCAGTGATGCCAGTGGTGGGGCACTATTTCTCCCACTGACACCAATGAAGAAGAACACTGTTCCTTTTACTGGCACCAATAATGCAGCGCTATTCCACACAGTGACACCAATAATAGATCATTATCCCTTCCACTGACACCAATAATAGGGCACTATTCCTTTCATTAACACCAATGATGGAGCACCATTCCTTCCACTAATACCAACGATACCACCATTCCTTTAACTGACAGCAATGATAGGTCACTATTCGTTGCACTGACTTTAGTGATAAAGGACTCTTTCGCCAACTAATAGCGAATGACCACATTTTTTTACACCCACTGACCGCCAAGCTGAGGCATTGTTTGCTCCCGATGGCCAAAGTCTAACCTACCCAGAAAAATAGCAAACTGGCCCTTTGTTTAGAAAGTTTGGAGACCCCTGCCTTAAAGGATCAGGAAGGATTTTTTTTCGAGATTACCTTTTTAAGGAGTTTTTGCCTTCCTTTGGATCCATTGTGGATTTAGGATTCTGTATATGTGGGCTTTAGATTAAGGCCTCTTTCTCACGCGGTGGACTCCACCTGCGATCCACTTGCTCAGCAGAGGATCTGACTACTGACTCCATGCTGAGCAGGTGGAAGAGAGGTCTGCTTATGCAGAGCGGACACGGACACAGCCTTCTCTCCTCTATGGTCAGTTGGATGGTCAGTTGTATGTAAATGGACCGCCTGCCTGTTTTATACCCAACTACCATTCGATCTGATCTTCCGTTTGTTTTTGCCAGACGGAATGGAAGAAGCCAGTGTAAATGGAGACAAGTCCATTTACATCCAGCTACCCATAGAGGAGAGAGGGTCTGGTTGGGTCCATCTGAAAAGCGAACATGCGGACCCAATGGGACTGCCCGTGTGAAAGAAGCCTTGGTTATTAATTCATTTTTCTATTGCTTGAACTTGTGTTTTTTGTTTTTTCATTTTCGCTAACTATGTATGTAACTCTATATTGCAAAATATTTGGAAATCTGACAAGCTACACCATGTGACTTAACTTAATTGCTACTTCTTCCTGTTTCTATATTGTTTTGTTTTTATTAATAAAAAGAGACTAACTGCACAGAATATTTCCTTTAGCTTTTGTCAGCAGGAGAAGCTGCCGATCACGTTCCAGTCCTGTGTGATGGACAAAGAATGTCAGGTGACTGAGTGGTCAGAATGGAGCTCGTGTACAAAGTCCTGCGAGTCAGTGCCGCCTACTGGACACCGCATCAGGAAAAGAACCATTAAACAGTTCCCAATTGGCAATGATAATGAGAGTCCAGAACTGGAAGAGACGGAGTCATGCACACCTCCAGCAGATGGGCCTCATGCCTGTGTAAAGTAAGTATGGGCTGAAGACATCTGCAAGACAAAATATTATTGCTATGTATTTAGCAGATATATATGACCTAGTAGAGCCTTGGGAGTTGGTGGTAAAGTTCTTATCAGGGTCCATGGATTTTGTGTGTTCTCTTGTTTATGTAGGTTTTCTCTGGGTTCTTGGTTCTCTTTAATGATCAACAAAACTACTGACTTTCATCCACATGTCCTATTCAGTGTATGGGTGGGGCCAAATTATTTGCTCATTACATACTGTATGTAGGGTCTGCTTCCTAATTTATGCTGATCTTTGAATCTATCTATCTATCTATCTATCTATCTATCTATCTATCTATCTATCTAATCTATCCATATCTATCTATCTATTGATCTCTATCTATCTATCCATCTATCCATTTCTATCTATCCATATCTATTTATCTATCTAATCTATCTATCTATCTATCTATCTATCTATCTATCTATCTATCTATCTATCTATTTATCTTTCTAATCTATCTATCTATCTATCTATCTATCTATCTATCTATCTATCTAATCTATCCATATCTATCTATCTATCTATCTATCTATCTATCTATCTATCTATCCATATCTATCTATCCATATCTATCTATCCATATCTATCTATCTATCTATCTATCTATCTATCTATCTATCTATCTATCCATATCTATCTATCCATATCTATCTATCCATATCTATCTATCTATCTATCTATCTATCTATCTATCTATCTATCTATCTATCTATCTATCTATCTATCTATCTAATCTATCCATATCTATCTATCTATCTATCCATATCTATCTATCCATATCTATCTATCCATATCTATCTATCCATATCTATCTATCTATCTATCTATCCATATCTATCTATCTATCTATCTATCTATCTATCTATCTATCTATCTATCTATCTATCCATATCTATCTATCTATCTCTATCTATCTATCTATCTATCTATCCATATCTATCTATCCATATCTATCTATCCATATCTATCTATCTATCTATCTATCTATCTATCTATCTATCCATATCTATCTATCTATCCATATCTATCTATATCTATCTATCTATCCATATCTATCTATATCTATCTATCCATATCTATCTATCTATCTATCTATCTATCTATCTATCTATCTATCTATCCATATCTATCAATCTATCCATATCTGTCTATATCTATCTATCTATCTATCCATATCTATCTATCTATCTATCTATCTATCTATCTATCTATCTATCTATCTATCTATCTATCTATCTATCTATCTATCCATATCTACCTATCTATCCATATCTACCTATCTATCCTATCTATCTATCTATCTATCCATATCTATCCATATCTATCTATATATCTATCTATCTATCTATCTATCTATCTATCTATCTATCTATCTATCTATCTATCTATCTACCTATCTATCCATATCTATCTATCTATCTATCCATATCTATCTATCTATCTATCTATCTATCTATCTATCTATCTATCTATCTATCTATCCATATCTATCTATCTATCTATCTATCTATCTATCTATCTATCTATCTATCTATCTATCTATCTATCCATATCTATCTATCTATCTATCTATCTATCTATCTATCTATCTATCTATCTATCTATCTATCCTTCTATCCATATCTATCTATCTATCCTATCTTCTCTTTATCCCATTTTTATTTCCTCATCTTTGTTTCTCTCTCTTTTACAATAAATATGTGCTTGGACTGGGGCAATAGTTGAATGAGAGTCAATTTCCTTTTTTCTTCAAGTTCTCCTCTCCTCTTCCTCTTCTCTCATTCTGCTCTCCATCCCTTCTCCTCTCCTTCTCTTACACTCTTGTCTTTCCTCCTCCTCGCCTCTCTCTTCCCCTCTCCTTTCTTTTCTCATCTCCCCCCTCCTTTTCTTACTTCTTCTCTCCTCTCTTCTCCTTTCTTCTTCTCTCCTCTGCTTCTCCTCTCATTACTTCTCCTCTCCATACCTTCCCTGTCCTGCAATCTCCCCACCTCTCTTCCCCCATTCCCTCCTCTTCGTTTTCCTCCTTTTCTCCTCTTTTCTCCTCCCTTCTCTTTTTTTAAATTCCTCCTCTCCCTTCTGTTCTCATTGCTTATCTTCTCTTTCCTCTCCTTTTCCTCCTCCTTCACAGTAAATAAGTGTCTGTACAAATTCAGTAATGGAATGCACCCCCTTTTCTATCTCTCTCACCCCTGGAATGCCCCCCCCCCCCCCTGCCCCTCATTCCCACTTCCCAGCTCATCGCTGGGCAGTAGTTGAATTCGGGCCCCAAAGCTGTCTTTACACAGAGGCCCTTTGGAGACCACATCTGTCACTGTTATTCAGGCAATGATGGAGCAGTCACACGAATGTGCACCTTTTGTACAAACTCTCTGCTTGCTGATATTTTAATAGCTAACAACCTGCTTACTTTAGTCACCAAGTATCTTTCTACCTGAAAAACTCTGTTTTGTTAGAGACACTGATGCCTGAGGTGAGTATAAATTAAAAATAACATTACCATTGCCCGCCGTTACTGCGCTGGCTCCACTGTCACATAAAAAATTCATAGCAGAGGATTCCTGATGAAAGTCTTCTGCATTATTCTGTTTCATATATACACGGGACATAGTTCCTGCCAGGATATCACCATATGAAGATCATATTGACAAGAGCAAACGTGTTCTTATTTCATTCTTCATAACATGGAACAGATTTCCGGTAGTTCAGAATATTTTATAATTTGTGCTCTAGAGATCTTGCAGAAAGTGTATAAGTGGAGATCACAAGGCATGTTTGCCAGAGACCGTGTGTCCACCTGGGGTCATAGAATGGAAATCTCCTGCCTATGATGAGTAAAGGCCAAGAGTTCCCTAGAGTATGTGAAGTTCATTTGATCCATCCTGTATTATTGCTGTAATGCAATCTGACTTCATTATCAGTAGTAAATCTGGACTTATTTTTAACACTGCAATTTGCTATGGCAAGAGCTAGAATATTTTATACTAGAAGAGTGGTCTCCAAACTGTGGCACACGGGCCAGATGCTGCCCTTTGCTTGTGCTTATCTGGCCCCCGGGGCACTTTTCCTCCCACTGATACAAGGCACTGTTTCTCCTTCCGACAACAACGATAAGGCATCATTCCATCTACTGACACCAACAGTGGGGCTTAATTCCTCCCACTAATACCCAACGATAAGGCACTATTTATCCCGCTGACATAAACAATGGAACACTATTCCTCCCATTGATACTAATGATGGGGCATGATTCATTCCACTTATTCTTATGATCGGGCACTATTCCTCCCACTGATACCAATAATGGGAAAATATTCTGTCCATTAACACCAACAATGGGGCACTATACCTCCTACTGACACCAACAATGGGACACTATTCCTCCTACTGACACCAACAATGGGGTACTATTCCTCCTACTGACACCAACAATGGGGCACTATTCCTTCCACTGACACCAACAATGGGGCACTATTCCTTCCATTTATACCAATGATCAGACACTATTTCTCCCACTGACACCAATATTGGGGCATTTATTCTCTCACTGATACCAACGATGGGACAGTATTCTTTCCATTGACACCAACAATGGAGCACTATTCCTCCCACTGACACCAACAATGAGGCACTATTCCTTCCACTGAAACCAACAATAGGGTACTGTTCTTCCCACTGACACGATGGGGCACTATTTCGTTCACCAGCACCAACGATGGGATACTATTCCTTCTACTTATACCAACGATGGGACACTATTCCTTCCACTGATACCAATAATGGGAAAAATATTATTTCCATTAACACCAACAATGGATTACTATACCTCCTACTGACACCAACAACGGGGCACTATTCCTGCTACTGACACCAACAATGTGGCACTATTCCTTCCACTGACACCAACAATGGGGCACTATTCCTTCCATTTATACCAATGATCAGACACTATTTCTCCCACTGACACCAATATTAGGGCATTTTTCCTCTCACTGATACCAATGATGGGACAGTATTCTTTCCATTGACAGCTTCAATGGAGCACTATTCCGCCCACTGACACCAACAATGGGGTACTATTTCTCCCACTGACACCAACAATGATGCACTATTCTTTCCACTGAAACCAACAATAGGGTACTATTCTTCCCACTGACACGATGGGGCACTATTTCCTTCACCAGCACCAACGATGGAACACTATTCCTTCCACTGATACCAACGATGGAACACTATTCCTTCCACTGATACCAATGATGGGACACTATTCCTCCCATTGATACTAATGATGGAACAGTATTCTTTCCACTGACACCAAAGATGGGGCACTATTCCTCCCAATGAGAGCAACAATAGGGCATTATTCCTCCCACTGACACAAACGATGGAGCACTATTCCTTTCACGCACCTCAATAATGGGGCAAAATTCTTCCACCAATGATGTAACACTTTTCCTACCATTGACACCAGTAATGGGGCACAATTAATACTTTTTTACTCCCACTGACCACCAAGCCTGAGGCATTGTTTACTCCCACTGACGCTGGGGTACTTTCTATTCCCAATATGCACAGTCCAGCCCCCCTAAATTCTGAAGCACGTTAAACTGGTCCTTTGTTTGGAGACCTCTGGGCTAGAGAGCCAGGCCTCTGTTCAACACAGAGCACAGAGATCCAGGTCTCAAGTGGTCCAACACATACCCTACCCAGTGTTCCAATCAACAGTGCTGCTCAGACTGCATGAGTACTGTTGATTGGAGGGCTGGGCAGGGGGGGTGTTAGACTGATGGAGACCCGGACTGTTTCACTCTGTGTAGAACAGTGGCCTGGCTCTCTAGCACAGGGTATTTTAATTCTTGCTGCAGCAAACAGTAGTGTGAAAAAATAAAAAGGAAACTTATATTATTATTATTTTGCATGTAGCCTGACTGCATAACAGTAATAATATAGAAAGGGTCAATTGGGCTTTAAGGAGAACTATTCAGGTTTTCCCCAACCTGTTGCATGCCCAGTATGGTGTGTACCCCAGCCAAACCCTTTCACAGTGGCTAAGCAGTTAGCTCTTCTGCCTTATAGTACTCAGGTTGTTGGTTTGAATCCCAACCATGGCACCACCTGCCTGGAGTTTGCATGCTCTCCCTGTACCTGCGTGGGTTTCTTCTGAGTACTCCGGTTTCCTCCCACACTCCAAAGACATGCTGATAGGTTAATTGGCTCCTGTCTAAATTGTCCCTAGATTAGGTATGTATGAATGTGAGTTAGGGACCTTAGATTGTATGCTCCTTGAGGGCAGAGACTGATGTGAATGTACAATGTATGCAAAAATTGATGGTGCTTTATAAGTACCTGTAATTAAAAAAAAAATGTAGGAGGAGCCAGTTAAGCTACCAGCATGTCTTTGGAGTGCCCTTTCCCAACCACATAACTCATTAATGCAGGCTGCAGATAAGCATCCATGGTGGTCTGAGGTTGTCTCTGACAGCTCTTGGTCAGGAGCTAACAAGATGGGTTCCCGATCATGTGACCACAATGAGAACCAATAACAGGCTTCACATGATTGGGAAGCTGCTCTGCATCCAGGGGCGGACTGACCATTTGGAAGCTCGGGCACTGTCCGAGGGCCTGGGGTCAGAAGGGGGCCCCATGAGATGCCCCTGGTACCTTTTTCATAGGCTTTTTTGAGTTTGGGCAAGGACACAGGGGCCACATGATCCCCTATTGCCCGGGGGCCCCATGAGTTGCCAGTCCACCCCTGTCTGCATCCCATCATTAAAGCCTATTTATAGGGCCGCCGGCAGCCATCAGGAAGGGTTAATAATTTTCTGCATTATGTTTAGTGCCAAAAAAATAAAAACCTGCATATAAAATACTGTAAATGTCAATAATTTAATATATATGCAACACATTTGGCTGATCCGTGCAATAAAGTCTTTAGTGAATTGGAAAAAAAAAATCATTTTGCTTTGCCATACTTGGAAAATAGCGGCAGAGTTTATGCTTTGATGCATCAACCCGCTTCTCCACGGCTCAGTGCTGCTGTTGATTGTGAAAATAAAAGTGTCCCTGGGGCATTTGTCTCCTTGCCCCCTCTTGGGCCTTTTGAAGGCTATAGATCATAGAAGCAATTTAGTTTCTGGTCCAGAGTTTGATGTCGCTGGCTATAACGGTAAATATTTTATACTTTGCCTGTCTGAAAATAAAACATATCTGGCGCTTTTCAAAAAAGAAAAGTGTAGATCTTACAAGCTTTTCAACCTTGGGGGCTTGAAAGACCTCTTATTGAGTCTAAGTACCCAGGTTATTAGGAACTAATCACATGTGCAACACCATTGCAACTGCAAAGCCCCTCTCTCTGCAGTTCCAATGGTGCTGTGCATGTGATCAGTTATGACACCAGCCATTTGATAGCTTGGTTGTTGGGCTAAGAGCACAAGCAACTGTGACAGTTATCATTCACAGCATGCCTTGAATTTACTTATTTTCTGAACCAAATAAATCAAAAGGTTTAGTTCCATCCAACACTCTGATCTCCGTCATACATCAAACCAGTGTCCTGATCATCGCTATATACCATACCAACACTCTGATCACAGCCATACCCCATACCAGCGTCCAGATCACTGCCATACCTCATACCAGTGTTCTGATCACCGCCATACCAGCGTCCTGATTACTGCCATACCTCATACCAGTGTTCTGATCACTGCCATATGCTATATCAACACTCTGATCACAGCCATACCCCATACCAGCGTCCTGATCACTGCCATACCTTATACCAGCATCCTGATCACTGCCATATGCTATATCAACACTCTGATCACAGCCATACCTCATACCAGCATCCTGATCACTGCCATATAACATAGTAACACTCTGATCACCGCCATACGTCATACTAGCATACTGATCACCGCTATACCCCGTACCAGCATCCTGATCACTGCCATATAACATAGTAACACTCTGATCACCGCCATACCAGCGTCCTGATTACCGCCATACCTCATACCAGCGTTCTGATCATTGCCATATGCCATACCAACACTCTGATCACAGCCATACCCCATACCAGCATCCTGATCACTGCCATACCTCATACCAGCATCCTGATCACTGCCATATAACATAGTAACACTCTGATCACCGCCATACCAGCGTCCTGATCACTGATATACCTCATACCAGTGTTCTGATGACCGCCATACCTCATACCTGCATACTGATCACTGCTATACCCCATACCAGCATCCTGATCATCGCCATGCCCCATACCAGCGTTCTGATTACCCCATATGTCATACCAGTGTCCCAATCACAGGTATACCCCATACCAGTATCCTACTCACCGCCCTACCAACATCCTGATCACCACCATACCAGCGTCCCGATCACCGCCATACCCAACACCAGTATCCTAATCACCACCATACCAACATCCTGATCACCACCATACCAGTGTCCTGATGACCCCCATACACCATACCAACATCCTGATCACCCCCATACCTCATACTAACGTCCTAATCACCACCATACCAGCATCCTGATCACCGCCATACTAACGTCCTGATCACCGCCATACCAGCGTCCTGATCACCGCCATACCAGCGTCCTGATCACCCCCATACCCCACACCAGCATCCTGATCACCCCCATACCTCATACCAGCATCCTGATCACCGCCATACCAACGTCCTGATCACCGCCATACCAGCGTCCTGATCAGTGCCATACCCCACACCGGCATCCTGATCACCCCTGTACCCCACACCAGCATCCTGATCACCCCCATACCCCATACCAGCATCCTGATCACCCCCATACCTCATACCAGCGTCCTGATCACCACCATACCCCACACCAGCATCCTGATCACCCCCATACCTCATGCCAGCGTCCTGATCACCGCCATACCAGCGTCCTGATCACCGCGATACCCCACACCGGCATCCTGATCACCCCCATACCCCACACCAGCATCCTGATCACCCCCATACTCCATACCAGCATCCTGATCACCGCCATACCCTACACCAGCATCCTGATCACCCCCATACCTCATACCAGCGTCCTGATCACCGCCATACCAGCGTCCTGATCACCGCGATACCCCACACCAGCATCCTGATCACCCCCATACCTCATACCAGCGTCCTGATCACCGCCATACCAACGTCCTGATCACCGGCATACCAGCGTCCTGATCACCGCAATAACCCACACCGGCATCCTGATCACCCCCATACCCCACACCAGCATCCTGATCACCCCCATACCCCACACCAGCATCCTGATCACCCCCATACCCCATACCAGCATCCTGATCACCGCCATACACCATACCAATGTCCTGATCACCGCCATACCGCACACCAGCATCCTGACCACCGCCATACCCCACACCAGCATCCTGATCACCCCCATACCCCATACCAGCATCGTGATCACTGCCATACACCATACCAATGTCCTGATCACCTCCATACCTCATACCAGCATCCTGATTGCCGCCACAACTCATACCAATGTCCTGATAACTACCATACCCCATACCAACGTTCGGTATTTTATGGTCTCAACTGATAAATTTTCAGATATATATCCCATAGTCTGTAGACTTTATAGCTTTCGCACAGACTAAATAATATATACTGTTTTTGGTTAGTTTTACCCAGAAAATGTAGCAAAAACAATTTCGGCCTAAATTTATGAAGAAAGAATATTTATTTGCCAACTTTTATAACACAAACTAAGCAAAAAATGTTTTCTTTTCAAAATTTTTTTATATTTTTTCATTTATATAGTAAAAAATAAAAAAAAGAAAACCCAGTGGTGATTAAATATGACCAAAAGAAAGCTCTATTTGTCTCAAAAAATTATAACAATTTCATATGGATACAGTGTTGCATGACTTAATAATTGTCACTAATTGTGTAATCGTGTGACAGCGCTGAAAGCTGAAAATTTGCCTGGACTGGAAGGGGGTGAAAGTTTCCGGACTTGAAGTGGTTGAAAATTAAATCAAGAAACGAATATTGCATTCAATGATTTGTCGCTCACAAGTCCAATGCACTCTCTCATTAAGGTATGCCTGGAGAGCCACAGAATGGACAGAGTGTCGGGTGGACCCGCTGCTTAGCCAACAGGACAAGAGAAGAGGGAATCAGACAGCCCTTTGTGGAGGAGGGATCCAAACCCGGGAGATCTACTGTGTACAAGCCGATGAAAGCCTTCTATCATACCTCAATGCCGTGAAGGACAAAGAAGGTAAATCCATTATTTAATACATTCCCTTGACTTGAAATGATATGAATGATTACCAGAAGAGGTGAATGAATTTTTATAAACTCATTTGATTCAAATAGGATCCCTGAGGGAGGGGATTGAAGAAAATGAAGACATGCTTTATTCCAAATATGGGTGTAGTCTAGTGAATTAGGGCAGATGTTAAGCTCCTTGGGGGCAGGTCTAAGCTACACCTTCACTTCACAAACTTGTATTTTTGCAAAACTGACCAGCAGTAATAAAAACATTAAAAAAAACCTCCTAAATGTGTACACCAATCAGTCATAATTTTATGACCACCCATGTAATATTGAGAAGGTCCCCTCTTTCCACCAAAACTGCCCTGACGCATTGAGGCATGGACACCACTAGATCTCTGAAGGTATGCTGTGGTATCTGGCACCAAGCCGTCAGTAGAAGATCCTTTATGTCCCATAAGTTGTGAGGTGGGGCCTGTGTGAATCGGACTTGTTTTTCCAGCATATTCCACAGATGCTCGATTGGATTGAGATCTGGAAAATTTGGAGACCAAGTCAACACTTTGAACTCATTGTTGTGTTCTTCAAACCATTCTTGAAACCATTTTTGCAGTGTGGCAGTGTGCACTATGCTGCTGAAAGAGGCCACTACCATCAGGGAATAGAATTTCCATGATGGGGGTACTTGGTCACCAACAATGTTTAGGTAGGTAGTACGTGTTAATGTAACATCCACATGAATGGCAGGAGCCAAGGTTTCCCAGCAGAACATTACCCAAAGCATTACATTGCCTCCACCAGCTTGCCGTCTTCTCATTCTGCATCCTGGTGCCATCTCTTCCCCAGGTAAGCGACGCACACACACCTGGCCATCCACATGATGCAAAAGAAAACATGATTCATCTGGTGAGGCCACCTTCTTCCATTACTCCATGGTCCAGTCCTGATGCTCACATGCCCATTGTAGGCACTTTTGGCTGTGGACACGGGTCAACATAGGTACCCTGACCGGTCTGCAGTGACACAGCTCCATACCAGGGGCGGACTGACCATTTGGAAACCCGGGCACTGCCCGAGGGTCCGGGGTCAGTAGGGGGCCCCATGAGATGCCCCTGGTACCCTTTTCATAGGCTTTTTTGAGTTTGGGCCAGGACACAGGGGCCCCATGATCCCCTATTGCCTGGGGGCCCCATGAGTTGTCAGTCTGCCCCTGCTCCATACACAACAGACTGTGATGTACTGTGTGTTCTGACACCTTTCTATCAGAACCAGCATTAACATTTTCAGAAGTATGGTCAATGACGTCACCCAGGATCTTTGGCTGGTTACAAACACCAGCCACCAAAGATCCATCATTTTCATAGCCCTACACATCAGTCAGGGCTTCAGGTGGGAGAACTGGCCACACATTTCCAGTTTGTTCGCCCATTTGCTGAATTGCGAACAGGCTGGGTTTGGGTCAAAATCAAAGTTCAGCCAACAACTCCCTGGCTTTCTGCTGGCTATGCTGAGTGGAAGAGCTGTGTAAATCTCAGGACTGGATGGACAGAAATTAAAATCCTTTGGCATGTAAAAAAACATCTCCTTCACTGTCTAGGCACAGTTTTTGGGAGAGACAAGACCTGTTAGTATTGATTAACTGCAGCAGACATTCTGCTCCCAGCCCAGTCCTCCTCTGACGCATTGTAAGTCCCTGAATCTGTCTCGTTCGGTATTCTGTACAGCAGAGGGCACACTGGGAGAGGAAGAAACAGCACATGGAGTCAATGAGTTGCATTGCAGTGTGCATGTGCTTAGAAGGAGCATGTTGGGCAGCACAGTGGCTAAACAGTTAGCACTTCCGCCTGGCAGTACTAGGGTTGTTGGTTCGAATCCCAACCACAGCACCACCTGCTTGGAGTTTGCATGTTCTCCCTGTGCCTGTGTAGGTTTCCTCTGGGTATTCCAGTTTCCTTCCACTCTCCAAAGACATGCTGGTAGGTGAATTGGCACCTGTCTAAATTGGCCCTTGTACATGAATGTGAGTTAGGGACCTTAGATTGTACACCCCTTGAGGGTGAGGGACTGATGTGAATGTACAATATATATGTAAAGTGCTGTGTAAATTGATGGCACTATATAAGTACCTGAAATAAATAAATAAATAAATCTTGCTAATAGAAGGAGAGAGCAAAGTAAAGGAGAGGTGAGCTCATCAGACTGCTGCTTCTCCTTCACTGTCCAATCACAGACTGGGGGAGGGAAAGAACTGTAACTGTTACCTAACTGCAGCAGAGAAAAATCAGGGCAGAGCTGTGCAAATCTGAAGACTGGATGGACAGAAATGCAAAGCCATTGGTAAGTCACACAGCTCCTTTATATGTATTTCATCAGTGTATTTAGCTGTTTGCCTGATGTTCACATTTAAAAAAAAAAAAAAAGAAGTCAGCAGAGATTTTCCATATCTTTGGATTGACAGGTATGCTGGTCACATAGCCGAGACTTTGTAACATCTGACCCTGTTGAATTTCTAATCCATCGCTCCGGATCTTTGTGTACATCTGCTGTCAGCTCGGTTGAATTAAATAAACCAAACACATCATAGGAGAGAGCGAGGCCCTTTCACAGTTTCCTGGCTCCGCGTTCCAGGCTAATCCCCATATTCATCCCTAAATAAAAATGAATATCGCAGAGCGAAAAAAAAAAAAAAAGAGCGCTCTCGGCGTTCCCCAATGACAAAGCAGCAGATATCAGCTTCGGAGTATCGTGTATGGTAATGTGGACAAAATTATGCACACTTTCATCAAATAAGGCTTTGATCAATCATCCGGTGCCGCGCCTGCCGCTAATCAAGTCTCCTGTGCTGTGCCATGATAACACCAAATGCAGATATCTCACAAAGTGCCTTTTGCTTTGCTGCACAATTCGTTTTCCGATAGGTGGGGGCTCATTCCTGAACGGCGGTATGAAGCCTTATGGAGCAAAAGGTGCTGTCACCAATTTTACTATGAAGCAGCCGCATTGCCAAATTTGCTGAATATAATTAACCCCTCGCCTACCGGGCACTTATACCTCCTTCCTGCCCAGGCCAATTTTCAGCTTTCAGCGTTGTCACACTTTGATAATTGCACGGTCATGCAACACTGTACCCATATGACATTTGTATAGTTTTTTTTTTAGACAGATAGAGCTTTATTTTGGTGGTATATAATCACCTCGGGGTTTTTTATTTTATGCTAAACAATCCAAAAACAGATGAAAATTTTGAAAAAAAAAGTTTTTTCTTTGTTTCTGTTATAAAATTTTGTAAATAAGTGATTTTTCTGATGCGCACTAATGAGGCTGCAGTGACGGGCACTGATAGGCTGCACTGATAGGCACTTATTGGTGGCACTGATGGGCACTGATGAGGAGGCATTGGTAGGTGGCACTGATGGGCACTGATGAGGAGGCACTGGTAGGTGGCACTGATGGACATTGACAGGCATCACTGATGGGCACTGAAAGGCAGCACTCATACATGGTACTGATAGGCGGCACTGACTGGAAAGGATATGCAGCACTGACTGGCACTGTTAGGTGGCACTGACTGGCACTGTTAGGCGGCACTGATAGGCGGCACTAACGGGCACTGATAGGCGGCACTGGCTGGCACTGATAGGCAGCACTGACTAGCACTGATAAGTGGCACTGATTGGCAGCACGGATAGGTGGTACTGACTGGCACTGATAGGTGGCACTGAAAGGCAGCTTAGATGGGCACTGATATGTGGCATTGATGTGCACTGGTAGGCACTGATATGTGACATTGATGTGGCACTAATGGGCACTGATATGTGGCATTGATGTGCACTGGTAGGCACTGATATGTGCCATTGATGTGGCACTGATGGGCACTGATATGTGGCATTGATGTGCATTGGTAGGCACTATTATGTGACATTGATGTGGCACTGATGTGGCACTGACAACTGGCATTGATGGACACTGACAGCTGGCACTGCTGGGGCTACACTGATCATCAGTGCCCTGATGATCAGTACACATGTCCCCTCTGAGGAATGTCGATTACCAGCTCTCCTCTCCTCTCTGTCAGCGTGACAGCTCCTGAACAGAGAAATGCTGATAAGCGACATTTCCTTATTTACATATGATCAGCTGTGATCGGACACAGCTGATCACATGACAGAGCCAACGTCTTCGGCTCTTTCCATTGACCGCTGATCCTCTGTGTCCGAGGGACACAGTGCACCACCGATCGCCGTGCTGCGCGCTGCCGGAGCTGCGCACGCACGGCTAGAGTGGGAGGACGTCATATAATGTCCTCCCAGAACGAGAGAACCGCCTGGCGCCCGTCATTTCCTTATATGGCAGACAGGAGAGGGTTAAACAAAATTAGGGTCTACAACCCCCCCCCCCCGATAAATATATCCGGACCGCTTTCAAAGCGATCGTACGATAATCTGACTGCTAGTACACAGCTTTCCTGCAAATGATTCAAAGGAAAACGTTTCTCGTACGATAGCAGATTGTACCATTTTCATTTAATCCGTACAGTTTTCGTCCCAAAATTCAATACAATACATGACATCACATTTTGATTCTGTCGTACAAGAATTTTCAGAACTTTGGTAGCCTCTTCACTTTTGGTATGAGACTAGCATAAAAAAAAAAAAAAAATCAGACGATCTTTCGTCCGATATTCTCATCGTGCACTCGGGACGTTTTTACAGCGGCTGTTTTTGTCTTTTGACTTTTTTTTTTCTGCAGCCAGTAAACTCCCCAGCATGTTATCCTATGTGTCCATACCAGGGGCAGACTGACAACTCATGGGACCCCTGGGCAATAGGGGATCATGGGGCCCCTGTGTCCTCGCCCAAACTCAAACCACATCCAAAAAAGCCAATGAAAGGTACCAGGGGGCCCCTTACTGACCCCCGGCCCTCGGGCAGAGTTTCCAAATGGTCAGTCCGCCCCTGGTCCACACACACATAGACTGGAATCAATGTTTTTTGGCTGGAAAAAACCCCCAGAACTAGTGGGTTTCTAGAGGAGTTTTTTTTTCTGTAAAAACGCTCTAACACTGAAAAACACGGTAAAACACTACAAACCGGCATTTTGGACTTTTTTTGTACCAAACGCGACAATACGCTGTTAAACGCTGATGCAAAACCGCTAAAAAAAAAAAAAAAAAAAAAAAAAAAGCTGAAAAACTCAAGTTTTAACGTGACTTTACACAGCTAACATTACCAGCATTATCAAAACGTCCCATGTGTATGGAGCCTAGTACACAACATGCTTAACCACCTCCCGTCGGGCCGTTGAATATAAACGGCCGGATGGTGGCAGTGCAGAGTCGGGTGGCCGTTTATAAACGGCCTCCCCGCACCCTGCTTGTGCGCACGCCCTGGGAGTGCGCAGCACCGTGATCCGGATCCAGACACGGTGGAACACCGATCGTCGGATGGGACCTCTGTGCGAGGTCCCGATCATGTGATCGCTGATCGGCCAATCAGTGATCACATGCAAAGTAGTAAGCAAGATGTCACTTGTGACATCATTGCTTACTGCATGTGAAATCTGTGAATGATCACAGAGATCACATGGTACAAGGCTATTCACTACAGCCTTGTACCATGTGACAAGCTGTGACCAATCACAGCTCACTCAGTAGTTCTCAATGGCTGCAAGAATACAGCCAGAGAGAAGGAGAAATGATTGCTTTTTACATCCTTTATGGGTATAAAAGCAATCAGTGTAAAAAAAAAAAAAAAATCTTCATTACCCCCCACAAGTAGTACAGTGTCACCATGGCGACTCTGTACTGCTAGGGTGACAGTATGTTAAAAAAATAAATAAATAAATAAATAAAAATATTTTTAAAAAAATGTAAAAAAAAATGTAAAAAAATGATAATTTTGGTTATAAACTAATGTGGGTTATTTGTTCTTTACTAAAAATATAACAGAATAAATTATGGCCAAGATGTATGATGAAAATTATTTATTTCACTTGCCAATCTCCTCCACTCTTTCTACCACTCCATCCCCCACAGCTATCTCCTCCTGTACCACTATCCCCTCCCTCCTAGATTGTAAGCTCGAAAGAGCAGGGCCCTCAATCCCCTCATGTTTTGCATTGTATTGGTATTGTTCTGTCACATGTTCTGTCCCCCTTTGTAATGTACAGCGCTGAGCAAACTATTGGCGCTTTATAAATACTGTATAATAATAATAATAATTTGCAAAATTTTATAAGAAAAACACTTTTTTCAAACTTTTTGGACATTTTAATTTACATAGCAAAAAAATTTAAAATCTCAGTGGTGAATAAATACCACCAAAAGAAAGTTTTATCTGTCTCAAAAAAATGCTAAAAAAATTCATATGGGTATAGTGTTGCATGACCGCACAATTGTCATTCAAAGTGTGATAGCGCTGAAAGCTGAAAATTGGCCTGGACAGGAAGGGGGTAAAAGTGTCCGGACTGGAAGCGGTTAACAATATGTTATTCCAAAATTGAAACAATTTCATTATGATAAATATCTTCCCATAAAGGCACACAAAGACTTCGGAGACCCCCATAAATGCCCACCATGAAACCAACACTATACATGAGACCCCATATGTAATAGAACTCCTAAAGTGTAACAAATATTTTAAATGGCAAAAACAACCAATGTGGAGCTTCCTGGTAAACTAATAATATACATCAAAAAATCTCTCAGTATTTGTTAACCCCTTGCCTGCCGGGCACTTTTACCCCCTTCCTGCCCAGGGCAATTTTCAGCTTTCAGTGCTGTCACACTTTGAATGACAATTACGCAGTCATGCAACACTGCACCCATATGAAATTGTTATCATTTTTTTTCACACAAATAGAGCTTTCGTCTGGTGGTATTTAATTGCCGCTGGTGTTATTTTTTTTGCCCTATAAACAAAAAAAAAGCAAAACATTTGAAAAAACGTTTTTCTATGTTTCTATTATAAAATTTTGCAGACAGGTAATTTTTCTCCTTCACTGATGTGTGTTCATGAGACTGCACTGATAGGCAGCACTGATGGGCACTGATAGACTGCACTGACGAGGTGGCAGGGACAGGCAGCACTGATGGGCACTGCTAGACTGCACTGACGAGGTGGCACTGATGAGGCGGCACTGGTGGGCATTGATGAGGCACTAATGATGCTGCACTGATGGGCACTGATAGGTGGAACTGATGGGCACTGATAGGTGGCACTGATGGGATGTGCTGACTGTCGGCACTGACTGACAGCACTGACTGGCGGCACTGCTGCGCAGCACTGATGGGTACTGAAGGGCACAACTTCTGGGCAGCACTGCTGGGCACTAATCATCAGAGCCCTGATGATCAGTGCAGATCTCCTCTGTGACATTTGCCGGTTATCGGCAGTACTTTCCTCACACTGTGACAGCTTGAGGAAAGTGCTGCCGATGCAACTGTATTTACTCTGTGATCTGCTGTGTCATTGGACACAGCTGATCACGTGATAAAAGACCACTGTGATTGGCCTTTCACCTCATCATGTGAACAGCTGTGTCCTTAGGACACAGCGCCCACAAACAGCGCGGGTTGCACACTGCTGGGGGCACATTCTGGAAAGATGTCCTATGATAGCCTCCCAGAACTGGACAACCACGCTGTAGCCGTCTTTCGGCTATAGCGCGGTTGTGAAGTGGTTAAATTGATTGCAAAGGTTTAAAAAAAAAATGTATACTTACCTGCTCTGTGAAATGGTTTTGCACAGAGTGGTCCAACCCTCCTCTTCTGAGGTCCTCTGCCGGTGCTCTCGGCTCCTTCTCTTCTCCATGTACCACCATAGGAATACCCTACCTATGGTGGCACACATGTGGACTCGATCCCAAGCACAACGTGCGACTTGGCCGCACCCCTCGCTTTCACTCATCACTGGATTTGATTGACAGCAGCAAGAGTCAATGACTACCGCTGCTCTCATTGAGTCCATTGAGGAGGGAGGGAGAGCAGCGTCGCTACTGTCAGGCACAGATCTGGCTCAGGTAAGTATGTAGGGGGCAGGGGCAGACTGACAACTCATGGGGCCCCTGGGCAATAGGAAATCATGGGGCCCCGTGTCCTCGCCCACAGTCAAACCACACCCAAAAAAGCCTATGAAAGGTACCAGGGGCATCTCATGGGGCCCCCTACTGACCCCGGGTCCTCGGGGAGATGGTCAGTCTGCTCCGGTAGGGGGGCTGGGGGGGGGGGGTTGGCAGCTGCCCTTAAAAGGTTTTTAAGGCTGGTCATACACCATACAATTTTCTGTCCAATTTCTGCCCAATTTCCTTTAGATTTACCTTCAACTATGTAGTGTAAGGGCCGGCCTAATTGGATACAATTGAAAGTGTTGTTTAGGTTTGACCTCATATTATATGGTTTTTGGTAAATCTAAAGCAAAATTCTCAAAACAATTGTATAAGGTATGGCCAGCCTAAAGCCAGCCATACACGGGTCGAATTCCGAAGGAATTTTCTTTCGAAAATCTTTTCTAGAAATTTATTTTGCACCATGAGTGGGCCACAGCATCAGCCGATTATCGTGCGACCATCAAATTTGAGTGATGGGGCCAGGGGCAGACTGACCATTCGAGCACTCGGGCACTGCCCGAGGGCCTGGGGTCAGTAGGGGGCCCCATGAAATGCCCCTGGTACCTTTTTTATAGGCTTTTTTGAGTGTGGGCAAGGACACAGGGGCCCCATGATCCCCTATTGCCCGGGGACCCCATGAGTTGTCAGTCAGCCCCTGGATGGGGCATGTTGAAAATTTTCTGAAAAACAAACTAATTTCTAATCAACGATGAAAGAATTTTGCGAGAAATGTAATCGAAAAAAAAAATTAGTGCGAGCTGTGACCTGGAAAGAAAAGAAAATTCTTGGCCACGAAAATTCTTTTCTGTAGCAACATGAGGTGAAATTAAAGGCTTGGTTGGTCAAATTTCGAAATCGATGGTGGTACCATGGGATTACAAAACGCACAAAATTTCTGATTTTCTAAAGATAATTTGTTCGGAATTAGACCCATGTATGGCCTGCATAAATCTGCAGTCAAAAAAAAATAGTTTTTTTTATAGAGTGAATAGGACATTGAAGAGTCCCGTGTCGTGTATTATGTGGCTGTGTGGTCTGTGTCCCCCATTGGGGAGCTCTCACCCACTTCCTGTCCTGGTGACCCAGTGAACACAGCTAGGTGAGCGTCATTCCAGTCTAGCTTTACATCGGAGAACTCTGCGTGTACAGAGCACTTATGATCAATAAAAAGGAAACAGGGAGTGAAGAATTAGGAAGAAAGGAATTGGATCAAAATATACAGGTGAAGGTAAAAATCTGAAAGGGGCAACAAACCTTGGACATTAGGACATTGTAGTTTTCTTCTCTTGAAATGTTGATTGCAAACCTTTGTGATTATTATATTTCTGTCTCATTTGAACTTTTATTTCAGACAGCCATTCGCACAGCACATCGAAGTCAAGTGAGGCACCGTTCCTGTCCATCTCATTTGAAATAACAGGTAAGTGTCTTCTCAATGTATATGAAATAGATTTTAAGCCTCCAGTTTGCGGGGATCTATAGATCCTAACAAGGTTCTCCAGACGCTCTGCTCACAATCCCATGCCTATGGGTCAAGGACACCACCATTGTCGAAACACTCAGGAGAACAATGGATTATGAAGGTCCAAAACGCACCCTGATTGTTTATTTTGTGCCCGTATTCTCGTTCAGGGCGGACTGATAACTCATGGGGCCCCCAGGCAATAGGTGATCATGGGGCCCCTGTGTTCTTGCCCAAACTCAAAAAAGCCTATGAAAAAGGTACTAGGGGCATCTCATGGGGCCCCCTACTGACCCGAGTTTCCAAATGGTCAGTCTGCCCCTGTCTCCGTTGTTTTTCTTTCCGAGGCCTCAGCTGTCAATCACCGGGTTCAGGCTGGTGATTACTCGCCGGCACCCGGTGACCGCCGAATATTAATGACGGGGGGAGAGAACTGTATGTAAACAATACAGATCTCTCCCCTGTCAGCTCCTGCACACTGCTTTGTATGGCTCTGCATAGCAGAGCCATACAAAGCAGTGTGCTTACAGTGAAACACACACACAGCCCCTATAGCAGGGGTAGGCAACCTGCGGCTCTCTAGCTGTTGTGGAACTACATTTCCCATGAGGCATTGCAAAGATTACAAAACTGACAGTTACAGCTATGACTTGCAGAGGCATGATGGAACTTGTAGTCCTGCGGCTCTCAGGTTGCCTACTCCTGCCCTATAGTGAAACAGCACACAGTTAACCCTTTGATGTCCCCAGATGTTAACCCCTTCCTGCCCAATGCTATTAGCACAGTGTCAGTGCTTTTTATTAGCACTGATCACTGTATTGTATGTCAGTGACACCAAGTCAGTTCCCCCCAGTGTCAGAATGCCCGCCACAGTCTCGCAGTTCCGCTATAAGTTGCTGATCGCCGCCATTACCCATAAAAAAAAAAAAAATCCCAGTATATATACCTCCATTTGTAAAAGCTATAACTTTCATGTAAACCAATTAATTTACAGGTATTGGGATTTCGTTTAGCAAAGACATGGAGCAGAATACATTTTGCTCTAAATTTATGATGAAATTTGATATTTTAAATTTTTTTACTGGACATGTTTAATAGCAAAAAGTCAAAAATATAGTTTTTTTTCTCAAATTTGTTGGGCTTTTTTTGTTTATGGCGCATGTTTCTTCAGGGGCTATCCCCCTTGTGTTGGCCTGAGGGAGCCTGCAGTTGCTTGCCCTGGGGAGCCCATTGCTAACAATGCACACTGGCTAACTATATATATTGCTAGTCCCTGAAGAAGTGACCTTCTGTCGAGAAACATGTCGGGCGTTGATTGCACAGCTTGCATATCCCCTACCTCCTTGAAGAAATATCCTGTTCATACTATTTGTACTCCACACATCTATTGGAACCTGTCTTTCTATAGTTGGTTGGTTGTGGGATATTAGCTGTGGGCTAACTGTGCAATGTAACTATATACAAGATACATTTTAGAGGTGATGTGTTAACCAATTCCCGTCTGGCCCATGTACATAAACGGCCGGACGGGGGCAGGGCAGGAGCGGGTTGCCATTCATAAATGGCACCCGCATTCTCAGGTTGTGCACGCTCCCTGGGAGTGTGCGGCACCGCGATCCGGTGTCCGCTGTGTCCGGAGGAACACTGATCGCTGTACGGGACCTCTGTGTGAGGTCCCGATCATGTGATCGCTGATTGGCCAATCAGCGATCACATGAATAGTAGTAAGCAAGATGTCACTTCCTGACATCATTGCTTACTACGTGTGAAATCTGTGAATGATCACAGAGATCACATGGTACAAGGCCATTCTCAAAAGCCTTGTACCATGTGACAAGCTGTGACCAATTACAGCTCACACAGTATTTCTCAATGGCTGCAAGAATGCAGCCAGAGAGGAGAAATGATTGCTTTTACAGCTTTTATGGTTGAAAAAGCAATCAGTGTAAACAAAAAAAAATCTTCATCACCCCACACAAGTAGTACACTATGGTGACACTGTACTGCTAGGGTGACAGCATGTTAAAACAAAAAAACAAAAAATATAAATAATAATATAAAAAAAAAATAAAAACATTAAAAAAAAATTTTCTTACATTATAATTTTTGGTTATAAACTAATTTAGGTTATTTTTTTTTTTTACTAAAAAGATAACCGAATAAATTTTGGCCAAGATTTATGAAGAACAATTATTTATTTGCTATATTTTATAAAAAAAAAAACACTTTTTTTAAAATGTTTGGACTTTTTCATTTATATAGCAAAAAAAAGTAAAAATCCCAGTGGTGAATAAATACCACCAAAATAAAGTTGTATCTGTCTGAAAAAAATGCTAAAAAATTCATATTTTTCAAAATTTTTGGACGTTTTCATTTACAGTATATAGCCCAAAAAATTTAAAATCCCAGTGGTGAATAAATACCACCAAAATAAAGTTTTATCTGTCTCAAAAAAATGCTAAAAAATTCATATGGGTCAGCGTTGCATGACCGCGCAACTGTCATTCAAAGTGTGATAGCGCTGAAAGCTGAAAATTGGCCTGGACAGGAAGGGGGTAAAAGTGTCCGGACTTGAAGTGGTTGATAAAGGAACATTGTTTTTATTTTTTTGTGTGCTGAGTTTTTGTGCCTAAAAAGTCCATCCAATATCGTTTTCTCTAATTAACTCTAGGGACATGGCACTTTGGTATAAACTGGGTCTTGACCAGGGGCGGACTGACAACTCATGGGGCCCCCGGGCAATAGGGAATCATGGGGCCCCTGTGTCCTTGCCCAAACTCAAAAAAGCCTATGAAAAAAGGTACCAGGGGCATTTCATGGGGCCCCCTACTGACCCCAGGCCCTCGGGCAGTGCCCAAGTTTCCAAATGGTCAGTCTGCCCCTGGTCTTGACCTACTACCACCCGATGGTCGCCCCATTTTTTCAATTTACAACTGCTTAGAATATAGCCTAATAACATTCAGTTTTGCACCCACAAAATGATTATATATGAGGTTTCACAGGATAAATACACCCCCCCCCCCCAAATGAACCTTTTCATGGTAACATACTGGTTGTTCCATCAGCTCCATAATCTGCTCCATCAGCTAGTTCAAGTTCACTTCTTCCTCCCCTAATCATTGGACCGATGTGCCCATGATAACCAAATTTGGCCTTTTTGTCAAAAGTGAAAAGTTAAGCTCTCATCAGGGGCGGACTGACCATTTGGAAACTCGGCACTGCCCGGGGTCAGTAGGGGGCCCCATGAGATGCCCCTGGTACCTTTTTCATAGGCTTTTTTGAGTTTGGGCAAGGACACAGGGGCCCCATGATCCCCTATTGCCTGGGGGCCCCATGAGTTGTCAGTCCGCCCCTGGCTCTCACATGTCTAGCTCTCTATATAATATACAGTATATATTGTATGTATACCTTTTCAAGTGTAACAGCGACATCCGTTTTCACTTCTGAAGATGTTTTTCATGAGATTAAGCTGTTCTATATTGATTTCTAGGCAACGGCGGATTAAAAGGCTTTATGATAATCTCTGCTTGAATTATGTTAATAGAGATTTTACACTGTATTAAGCGTCCGTGCTGAGATGTAGTCACTAAATATTATTGTGCGGTTTCCATATGACGGTACTTAAAGTGGATTGTTCCTAAAAGATGCTCAGGCTGTGTCATATTTCACCGGAACAAGCTGGGAGAATTGTTCCCTCAAATCGTTCTATTAAAATGAATTACACGGAATAAAATGAGCCATTGGTGTTGGCTTGGAATGGATTGCGAGACCGCGTGTCATAAAATCCCCCACAGATTCTTCGCAATAAATGGACGATCATTCTTCTGTTTCATGGATTTTCCTTGGAGTCTAGAAACAATTTATAGCCATGGAATAAACACAGGACTCCTGTTGTTTTATTCCTCAGATCAGCTGATTTAGACGTGAAGTCAAATAAAAGGCAAGAGCAATGCAAAAATCTGTTCATTGCAGGAGCGTCGATTCTTCGCAATAAATGGACGATATTCTCCTGTTTCATGGATTTTTCCTGGAGGTCTAGAAACAATTTATATTCATGGAAAAAAACACAGGCCTCCTGCTATTTTGTTCTTCAGATCAACTGATTGTATGTGTCAAGTCGGATAAAAGGCAAGAGCAATGGAAAAATCTTTTAAATTCAAGGAGCGGCATTTTTTTTCATAATAAATAAACGAACATTCTCTTGTTTAAGGGATTTCCTAGTGGTCTGGGAACAATTTCTAGCCATGGAATAAACATAGGACTCCTGTTATTGTGTTCTTCAGATCAGCTGATTGTATGTGTGAAGTCAGATAAAAGGCAAGAGCGATGCAAAAATCTGTTTCACTTCAGGAGCTGCAATACACCGCAATAAATGGACGATCATTCTTCTGTTTCATGGATTTTCCTTGGAGTCTAGAAACAATTTATAGCCATGGAATAAACACACGACTCCTGATGTTTTATTCCTCAGATCAGCTGATTTAGACGTGAAGTCAAATAAAAGGCAAGAGCAATGCAAGAATCTGTTCATTGCAGGAGCGTCGATTCTTCGCAATAAATGGACGATGTTCTACTGTTTCATGGATTTTTCCTGGAGGTCTAGAAACAATTTATATTCATGGAAAAAACACAGGCCTCCTGCTATTTTTTTCCTCAGATCAGCTGATTGTATGTGTCAAGTTGGATAAAAGGCAAGAGCAATGCAAAAATCTGTTAATTGCACGAGCGGCAATTTTTTCATAATAAATGAACGAACATTCTCTTGTTTAAGGGATTTTCCTAGGGGTCTGGGAACAATTTATAGCCATGGAATAAACATAGGACTCATGTTATTGTGTTCTTCAGATCAGCTGGTTGTATGCGTGAAGTCAGATAAAAGGCAAGAGCAATGCAAAAATCTGTTCATTACAGGAGCCAATTTTTCACAATAAATGAACGAACATTCTCTTGCTTAAGGG